GTTTAGGGGTTTGGGTTTAGGGTTTGGGGTTTAGGGTTCAGGGTTCCTTCAAAGGGTTCTTTCAACCTGCAAGCACCTGGAAAGCTCCAAACCCTTACGCGGACCCTACGGAACCTATCTTTTCAAGGCTCCTTGTTCTGGTTTCCTCATAATAAGTCTTGAATAAAGATAGGTGTTTCGGGTGGTTAAGGTAATCCCCAGCCCCTACGCTCATGGCCCCAAACCCTAAACCCTAAACCCCTAAACCCAAAAACCCTAAACCCTAAACCCCTAAACCCTAAACCCTAAACCTTTCGACCATCCTGATCACCACAGACCTCAAACCCATCCTGCCGCTTTCTAGGGCCTTAGTAAGTAGGGTTATATTGAGGGTAACTATACTTATAACCCCAATTAGGGGACTTATAACCTTACTTAGTAAGTCCCATGATCCTCCAAGTAGGGTCCGGGGACCTAAAGTAGTCGGTTACTCCTCAAAAACTATGCAACCCAGTAACCCATCATTTAGTTGGGTTCTCCAATACCCAACCTTTAAATTTTTTGGATTCTGATAAGTTAGTAGTGATTCCAGAACCCAACCTTTAAATTTTTTGGATTCTGATAAGTTAGTAGTGATCTGAAAGTTTGACCTTCTGTTTCCCTGCCCAATGGGGAGGTAAGTTAGGCAACTGGAGCTTGAGGGACGGATACGATGATCCCTAACCCTTGAACCCTAAACCCATTATTTAAGGGTCGCTGGAGTCCTGGGGGATGGCTGTGTTGCTGCGCGTCCTGCGCATCTCTGGGGAAGAGGTTCTTGCCCTGACCGCAGAAACTTGTCTGAGCTGATTCTTAGGGATGCTCCTGGGTTTAGGGTTTAGGCTCTCGACTCTAAGACTGGAGAGAGAGGGAGGGAGAGAGACAGAGAGAGCAGCATGGAACAAGCTGATATCGGGGCCTAAATAAGTACCTACATTATTTGGGGGTTCCCTATTATTATTATACTATAAAGGACACCAAAACCCTGTTCTAATTATTACGGCCCCTATATTGCCAGGCTTTCCTCAAGCCTTAAATCGTGGGTTTGAAGTCTCGACCCCCAGGTGCTACTTATATAATGAGACTGCCTCAAACCCCTCCTATGTCTTACGGCGCCTACACCCAAAAACCCTACAACTCTAATTCCCTTAAAGAACCTTGATCCCTACACCCTAACCCCCCTGCACGAAAACCCCTAGAACCCTAAAATTTGGGGTCCCACGCCCTCAACCCCAAGCCCCGAAACCCCTAAACCCTAAACCCTGAATCCTACGGCTGATGACATAAATCCTGCATAACCTTATAAGGACCCTAAACTATGGGAACTATGGTATCTTCCTTATTGTGGGTAATGCAGGGTTTATATCATCAACCGTACGGCCGACTTTGAGCCCGAAGGATCCTAGTTGCGAGCATGCCCCGCATGTGTTTTTTTAGTGCTTTCGGGCTAGGGGTTTAGGGTTTAGGGTGTAGGGGTGTAGGGGCTTTCGGGGTTTAGGGTTTTGGAGTTTAGGGCTCAAAAGTGGCGTGCAAGTATACAGGGTTCAGGTTTCAGGGAGTGTGTGATGTACGTATTCCTGTTTGGTGTGCTTTTCGTTATTTGCGCAACTCGCACATGTATGTATGCATATATAACCTATATGTACATACATACATATATATATATATATGTGTACATAAACAAATATACGTATATACATGCAGATGCACCTTTCCTTAGAACAGTTACACAGATCCAAACAGGCCTTGCTGGCAGCTCTTCCCCTGCAGTCTCGACAGCATGATAATCTAACCCCCCAGGTACCTACTATATAGGGTACTGGAGCCCCTAGGGCCCTATATAGTAGGTACCTGGAGGGTTAGGGATAACCACCCCGAGGAATTTCTTCGGCAATTACCCAGGTCTAGGGTTTATAGGGCTGTGGAATGTATAGTTTAGGAGTTTTGGGGTTAAGGGTTTAGGGTATATTGCAGACAGCAGGGTGCCGATGTTAGGAATTCGGCTTTCGATCATGGTTTGGGTGAGTACTTCCCTTTGTTATCGGTATTTACTTTGGGCATTTTGGGAACATACGAAAAGGGCTTCAGTTCTCGAAGACGGTCTTGGGGGAACCTTAAGGCATCATATTCGTGTTCTATTTAGGGTTTAGGGTTTAGGGTAACGACATAGGCATGTGATGTGGTCTCAGAACCACCAGTCTGAGGACGAGATAGACGAGCTCTGGCTTACCTTTGAAACGACCGTGAAAGCATTGAAGCAGCGTATGCTTCAGCTACCGTCGATGCAAGGCGGTCTGGATTTGTTTAACCCTATACCCTAAAACCCTAAACCCCTAAGCCCTAAACACTAAACCCCTAACCACTAAACCCCTATATAACCCCTAAACACTAAACCCCTAAACCCCTAAACCCAATGCTGTGTTGTCTTACCTGGGCATTGGGCGCAGGATGTACCGTTTCAGACCCCAGGATCTGCTCCGCTCGTTCTTCACTGCGTGTCTCTGGCACGTCTCTGATAACGTCTCCAGGGTCATGAGTTCCTTCTGTGATGGTTACGTACCCAAGTGGTAGTAGCATGTCCCCATATATATATATACATATTATTTATAGACGCTCTGGAAATCCTGTGTTTTTGACTTCGAACCCAAACCTGCAGTGACCATATTCCGAAGTCCGAGTCTTTGTCTTCAACTTTGTTTTCCAAAGCTCCAAAGCTCGAACCCAATCCGCAATTCCTACTTCTCCCTCCGAGTGGCATTGAAACTGCTTACCAAACCAATCCCTTCAGAATTGCGGTGTGAATGACCCTCTGTATACTCCGAACCGCATACTCAAACCCTAAAGCTAGTGTGGAACGCGTTGTCGGAACCCTTAGATAGAAAACTCCAGGAATAGTAAAGCCCCAAGTAAGAATAAGAACAGCTGCTCAAAAAGCCCGTATTAGTATATTAGTACGGCTTCGAGGACATTTTCATGAATTCGGTTAGAGGCAGAGTTTCTGAGTCGCTTCTTGGTTCTATCGTAATATAAGGGCCTCAAAACTTATAAGCATAGAATAAGGAGCCGCAAAACCCTAGTCTAATGATCAAGGCCCCTATACTACCCAGTTAACATGACACTTCTTGCCTGCGAGTGAAGTCCTCAGATCCGACAACCACCCCGTGTCGAAGCCATTTAATATAGGGACCTCAATAACTAGAATAGGGTTTTGGGGCCCGTTGTACTATAATTGTAATAAGGAGCCCCCCCCCCAAAAAAAAAAAAAATACGGTTGATTATATAAATCCTGTGTTATACCATAGGTGCCGTAGCTTAGGGTCCTTAAGGTATCAACCGCAGTAGTGGTAAACCCTAAACCCTAAACCCTAAACCTCTAAACCCTAAACCCCTGAACCCTAAGCCCTAAACCCCTGAACCCTAAACCCTAAACACTAGACCCTAACCCCTAAACCCTAAACCCTAAACCCCTAAACACTAAATGAACCTTAAGCGGTTTAGGTTTTAGGGTTTAGGGTTTAGTTAGGGGAAAACAATACTTACACACACACACACACCCAGAATGCAGTCTGCAATTGGCGACTGCGCCGACACGTTCGCCCAGATTTGTTTAAAAGACATGCAAAGCCTTGGATGCGCATGGCAACCGCCAGCACCCTAAGCTACAAACCCCCGGCCCTAAATCTTAAATCCTAAGCTGGGCGCCAAAACCATAGTCTAATTATTAAGGCCCCTGAACCCTAAACCCTTATAGTAGTGCAACCCTTATAGAACCCTTTTAAGGAACCCTTAAGAAGGAACCCCTAAACCCTAAAACCCCAAACCCACGAGCCGCGAGGCCTATCGCCTCATCGCCTTCGCCTGGTTCGAGATGGGGAAGTGATGTCGGACCATCCTTCGTTTGGGGGACTCAATAGGGTTTGGGGTTGAGGGTTAAACCCTAGGGTTTAGGGTTCAGGGTTTCGGGCTTAGGGTTAAACCCTAGGGTTTAGGGTTTAGGGTTCAGGGTTTAGGGTTAAACTGTAGGGTTTAGGGTTTAGGGTTCAGGGTTAGGATTTAGGGTTTAGGGTTTTGGGTTTGTTAAGGTCTTAGGGTCTAGGGTGCGAAAAGGTGCGGGGGATCAGAGGTTTCAGGTTCAGGTTCTTGAAGGCTTCACCTTAAACCCTAAACCCTAAACCCTAAACCCTAAACCCATTGGATCTTGACGTGCCGGGTTTAGGGGTTTGGCTGTCTTGATCCCAGACCTTGTCAAAGCGACTTAAACGGATCACGGGACTTAGTAACCAGGGTTACAAGTAAGGTAACTATTCTTATAACTTGTAACTACTCCAAGTTTAAGGCACTTACAACCTTACTTACTAAGTCCCATGCTCCTCCAAGTCACCCCTAAACCCTAAACCCCAAACCCCAAACCCCAAACCCTAAACCCTAAACCCTAAACCCTAAGTCGAGCCGCTAACACCTTCCGAGAGCCCCGCCGGACACCGTAAGGTCCCCCCCCGCCCCATGCCCCAGATCCCGAGGTTTGGGCCTTTGGGTTTAGGGTTTAGGGCTTAGGGCTTAGGGCTTAGGGTTTAGGGGTAAGGGTCTAGGGTTTATAGGGTTTTTGAATAAAAGCGTATACCCGTACCCGTTAAAATTGACCATCCTCATGACGATAATATCCCCTGCAGTTATGAAGCTCTGCTAGATTGTTCCGAAGTCTCCTTCCTAGAACCACTGTAGAAGCCCGTATATAGTAATTAACCCCACATGAAACCCTAAACCCTGAGACCCTGAACCATAAACCCCAAGCCAAAGAAACCTGAAGCCCTGAAACGTGGCAAAAGTTTCCTAAACCCTAAACCCTAAACCCTAGCAGATCCCACATGGATCCCTTAAAGGAGACATTTAAAAAACAAACCCTAAACCCTAAACCCTAAACCCTAAACCCTAAACCCTAAACCCTAAACCCTTTAAAAAACAAAAAAACGACCCCGTGCCAGGACCACTTAGACTGGGGCGCAATTCTTGGCCTGGGGTCTCTGAAGCTGGATCTTGTGGTCCTCGACTCTGTGTTGCAAGGGGCCTTTGGGTTTAGGGCGGTTTAGGATTGAGGGTTTTTTTTAGGGTTCAGGGTTTAGGGTTTAGGGTTTAGGGTTTAGGGCTTAGGGTTTAGGGTTTAGGGTTCTGCATTACCTAAAATAAGGAATACACCATATAGTTCCCATAGTGTAGGGCCATTCGGGAATACAGGATCTAGATCATCAACACTAGTTCCGAGTGCAACGAGCCTGTTGTTTCGCCTTGCTTTTGCGACGCATGCGCACCCTGGAACCAAACACTGCAAGACAACTCCCCACAGCCGCACCAAGAATCCTAGACTGGATTGTAGTTTTGGGGCCCTCAATAAGCATTTATGAGTATGTACCTCTATAGGACAACCATAAAGGAAATTTTAGACTTTCCCAAAGTGCCACCTAGTAGAGCCCTCAACCCTAAACTACTAAACCCCAAACCCTCATCCCTTAACCCAAAAACCTAAGCCACTGCTTCAAGCTACCAAGGTTTTCTCGGTTTCTGATTGAGAACAAACGCTAGGATGGCCCTTCAGAGTCTGAGAGTCATATTCGTATATGAGATCCTCTTCTAGACAAAAAGCGCAAATTGAAAATGTCCCAAAGGCCTACCGAGAGTATGTCCACCCTAAACTCTAAACCCTATAGACCCTGAAGACCCTAAACCCTAGGCGAAACGGTTCTCTGGGGGTTCCTTTAAGGTATCTCTATAGGCACTAGAGTTCTATTGAGGGTTCCTTTGATCTGAAGGCTCTATGGGGCTTAGGGTTTAAGCTTCAAGGCCTTCTTAGGGTTTAGGGTTTAGGGTTTAGGGCCCATAGGGCTCTTTCTCTAGGGGTTCTTTTTGTGAAAAAACGGTTCTAGGAAGGGTTCCTTTAAGGGCTTCGACTCAGGATTCTCCATAAGGGCTCTCAAAGGCTGCATTACGGGTTTCGTTAACCCAGACCCCTGGAAGGATCTTGAAAGTAGAACCCCTAATTTGGGGCCCCACCTACTAAAGGGTACTTTACAGGAACCCCCTGAAGGGATCTACTTTCTGGATCCTCCCGGTGGTTTCGCCTAAGGGGCTTCTAGACTCCAAAACCTCGGGTTCTAATTTCTAGTGTTTATTGTAAGGGCTTTAAGGTAAAGGGTTTAGGGTTTAGGGTTCAGTGGCCTTAATACTCAGAATAGTGTTTTGGGGTCCATTATACTATACTTAACAAACCCTATGGAGGTGGGTGGTTGTCAAAATTATGGTCCCTTTTGGGCCCTTATTATAATACGGCACCTATTATTTAGGGTACCCCAGAAGGGACCATAATTTTGACAACTACCCAAGTGATTTCGGCATGCCGTTTTCGAGGACGCAGGCACGACCAGGCCGCTGCAGCTGAAGTCTCATCGGATGCGGCAACAGCCCAAGTTGAAATCCATTTACTGCGAGTTAATGTAGGGCCCTAAACCCTAAACCCTCAACCCTAAACCAAAAAACCCTAGACCCTAAACCCTAAACCCTAAGCCCTAAGCCCAAAGCCCAAAGCCCTAAACCCTAAGCCCTAAACCCTAAGCCCAAAGCCCTCCTAAACCTTAAGCCCTAAACCCTAAGCCCTAA